AGAAGACTGCAGATAGATTCATGTTTATCGCCATGCACAAAACTTGAGTACAAATAGATCAAAGACATCAACATAAATCCAGCCACACTGAACCTGTTAGAAGAGAAAGTGGGAGGTACCCTTGAAGGAATTGGTACAGGACCCTGCTTCCTGAACATAACACCAGTAGCACAAACACTGAGATCCACAATTAATAAATGGGACCTCCTGAAACTGAGTAGCTTCTGTAAGGCAAAGGATACAGTCAGCAAGACAAAAAGGCAACCCACATATTGGGAAGAATATTCACTAATCCCACATCTGACAGAGGGATGATATCCAAAATTTACAAAGAACTCAAGATGCTATTCTCCAAAATACCAAATGACCCAATTAAAAAGTGGGGGACTGAACTAAATAGAGAATTCACAATAGAGGAGACTAAAATAGCTGAGAGACAATTGAGAAAGTACTCAACATCCTTATCCATTAGGGAAATGCAAATCAAAACAACCCTGAGATATCATCTTACTCCTGTCAGAATGTCTAAAATCAAAAAGAGCAATGACAGCTTATGCTGGAGAGGATGTGAAGAAAGGGGAACACTCCTCCATTGCTGGTGGGAGTGCAAACTTGTGCAGCCAATTTGGAAATCATTATGGAGATTCCTCAGGAAAATGGGAATCAATTTACCACAAGACCCAGCAATTCCACTCTTAGGCATATACCCAAAAGATACCCATTCATACAACAAGGATATCTGTTCCACTATGTTCATAGTAGCATTATTTGTAATAGCTAGATCCTGGAAGCAACCTAGATGCCCCACTACTGAAGAGTGGATAGAAAAAATGTGATACATTTACACAATGAAGACTCAGCAGAAAAACACAACGGAATCTTGAAATTTGCAGGCAAATGTATGGCACTAGAAGAAACCATCCTGAGTGAGGTAACCCAGTCACAAAAAGACAACCATGGTATGTAGTCACTCATATATGGATTTTAGACATGGATCAGGGGAGTGTCAGCATACAATCCCAGGGCCAGTGAGTCTGGAAACAGGGAGGTTCTCAAGAGAAAACCCAGAGAAGTGGAAAGAGGCAAGATCTCCTGAGCAGATTGGGAACATGGGGGGAGAAGAGAGGGAACCAGGAAAAAGAGAGGGGGATAAGAAGAAGGTAGAAGAAGACATGGGGGAGCAGGAAGGCTGAGTTGGGGTAAGAATATCAGAGACCAGAATGAGAGATACCATAATAGTTGAGGTCATTATAGCTTTGAGGAGAGAGCTGACACTAGTGAGATTCCCAGAGATGTACAAGGATAACTTCAACTGGAAAACTAAATTAAAGCGAGAGACTTCATTAATAGCCCCTACCTGATGATAAGGTTGGTGACTACCTTATGTGACATCCTAGAACCTTCGTCCTGTGACTGACAGAAGCAGAGACAGATACTCACAACTGAACACTGAACTGACCCCCTGGAATCCAGTTACAGAGTTGGAGGAGTGATGAGCAAGGTGGTCAAGACCATGCTGGTAAAACCCACAAAGACAGCTGACTGGACAAGGGGGAGCTCTTGAACCCCAGACTGATGGCTGAGAGGCCAACAGGGGACTGATCCAGACTCCATAAATGTAGTGTCAGTGAGGAGGCCACAGAAATCTCTGGGGTTTGGGGTAGTAGGCTAGTGTTCAACATGGCATACAAATGAATTTTGGGAGTCCATTCCACATGGAGGAATGCTCTCTCAGCCTGGACACATGGGGAAGGGCCTAGGTCCTGCCCTGGATGAAATGACAGACTCCGGAGATCCCCCCAAGGAGGGCCTCACCCTCCCTGGCGAATGATGTGGGGATTGGGCTGGGGATGGGGAGGTGGGGGTAGGACTGGTGAGGAAGAAAGGGGTCAGAGCTGGGATTTACATTTGAAGCATACATGTTTCTAATTTAAATAAAAACAGACAAAAAAAGTAAATAGGCCTTGTCCAAAACAAAATCTAGCATTCAGCAACAAAACAAAACAAAACAAAAGCAAAAACAAAAACTCACTATGAAGCATGGGCTACCCTCATACTCCCTATTGCCAGAAATACAGGAATGTACCATAATAGCTAGTTGGGTTTTCTTTCTTGATTTCTATTTGAAATAACTTGCTATGGATCTGTAGCAACAGTACTAATTCTTTGTGCTGATTTTTATCCACATTTTTTAGCTACAATTATGTATAAATGCTCATATTTTGGGCAGCATGCAGGGTATTTTCTATGATGTAACAATTTTTCTTTTACTAATTTGGGTATCTTACTTTTTTCTCTTACATGATTGATTTTTATTGGTTTCCAGTACTACATTCAATAATGATGAATTTGTCATGGTTATCTTATTTCAGACCTCAGAAAGGAAGTTTTCAGTTTTCCTGCATTTCTTATGACGCCATTAACAAGTTTTTTTTTTAATGAATGATATTGTGATATGCACAAGTTAATTTCTTCTATATCAAATTTCTTCAAAAATATTCCATTAAGGCTACTAAATCGTCTTGTTGAATAACCTTTTAGTGTACTGTGAAGATGTTTGTTTGCCAAGGCACCTTCTGATTGGTTTAATAAAATGCTGAATGACCAATAGCTAGGCAGGACATATAGGTGGCACTTCTAGGCACAAGACCGGACTATCAGAAGATGAGAGACAGAGAAGCCAGCAAATGTGGAATGACTTGGGTACACAGAATGAGACAGAGGGAAAAGCCACATGGCTGAATGTAGCTTAATAAATATATGGTTAATTTAAGTTATAAAAGCTAGTTAGCAACAAGTCTATGCTATAGGCCAAGTTTTCATAATTAATAGCAAGTGTTTGTGTCATTATGTGTGAGTTGGCAGCCCACTGAAAAAAAATCTGAGTACAAAATCTTATGCATTTATTAATATGATATTATGGATAAAACATATCTGCAACAAAAAGAACATAACATGGAAACAGAAAATTCCCAAAATATGCAACTAATAAGGAACTGTTATCAGCATTCATAAAAAATTTAGAATGGCAAAATTATGTTTAAAATTAAAAATATAGATAAATGGATATTTTCCAAAGCCAATAGTATATGTGAAAAAGCAAATCAGAACAAAAACAACAAAAAAGCTTATCCCTGACACAAGCCCTAGGGACAAGCAAGTGAAAACTACAATGTGAGATCACCTGATCTCAGTAAGAATGAGTATTATTAAAATGACTAAAAACTGATGAGGATGTAGAGAAAAACTATCCCCTACCTGCTGTAGGTATTAGTGCCATATTTATTAGTGGAAAGAGTATAGAGGCAAACTTCCAAATCTTAAAGACTGAACTACTTTTTTGATCCACTAATGGATATGTATGTAAAGTCATGAAAATAATGTATTAAGGAAGCACCTGTACCCCCACACCCAATGCAGTGTGGCTCACAGCAGCCAAGACCTGGAAGCAAGGCCACATGTCTACTATTATATGAGCAGATAAAGTGCGTGTGGTGCCGATTGACTGCGAGTGGACAGCGCAGAAGTCTGTTGTCTTGCCGCCCCATGGATAGACCTAGACGATAAGTACAGTGAGCTAGGCGAAACTAGGTAAGTACAGCATGGATCACATTATAGAACGTAAACATGATGAGCTCAGAGGTGAGAGTACATTGCAAGTTATCAAAGGGTGTGATGGTTATGGAGAGGGAGCATCTGTGGATAAATGGCCACTCAGGTTCAGTTTCATAGGAGCAAAATGTTCTGATGTGCCGTTGCCCAGTTATGTCGCGAGAGAAAATGCACACTTCATTAGGCAAGTGAAAACAATCTCAGTTTTCACAAGGAAATGACAAACATTTGAAGAGATATGCTCAATCTGATTATACATTAAACAATGTATTAGAAACACCATAAGACAGCATATTAATATTTACCATTCTCATGTTTTTATTATTTCTGAAATAAATTGAGTAACAAAGGCATGTGTAATATATTAAGATTGTCAAAAAAGTAACTTTGCATTACTATTTAATTTCTAGTTTCATGAGTGAGGCAACCAATCTCTTTAATGAAATATTATGGAACTTTAAGGTTTTGAGTTATTATTAGCTTGTATATTTGTCAGAGTAAAAAGTAACTATGGGCTGTGAAAAAGCAAAAGTTTTTAATGTTTTACTGGAGGAAAAATAAATAAAATTTATTTAGTCAACATTACTGGAAAGTTAATGATAGCAGAAAAAATAACTTTCAAAATTCTATTCGGATGGAAATCTTTCTCATTTCTTTTAAACAACCATGGACTCTGATCTACAGTCCCATAATTTGCCTTTGTGTCTTTTCACACATGAGATTAAAAACATGATCCCATCAGAGGTAAGGAAGTGTAGCTGACTTCGTGATTATTATCTATAGTAGAACACACTCTACAGTGATTTACTTTTCATACTTGTGTGAAGTATTATGAATTAATTACTAGTTAATTACAAAAGTGAACTTTAGTATTTTTTTGCGAAATTACATACTGAGATGCCTGATGCTAGTTTGTTTTGAATTCAGGTCAGATATACTATGCTTCAACTAGGAATACAGCATCATGAACCTTAAAATGTACACAGAATATCACCATGAAATATTTTGCCTAGAAGTTGCATATAAATTCTGTTCCATGGTAATGGCTGCAATTCACTTAGGGCCTACCTGTTGGAAACCAATTTCAACTCAACATTGTTTATGAATACTTTTCACATACAGAGCTCTTTGCCAAGACATAGGTCATAGATGCGGTAGATAAAATGAAAATATATACATTCTGACAGTCAAAATGCTTACTAAAGACCGTCATATGAAAATTTCAAATTTAAAAGAGAAGTTATTGATATCAGTCTGTTAAATATAGGTGTTAGCTAGCAGCACTAAAATCACTATCCATTGAGAAGTAGTGCTGTTTGCATCATGAATGTAGTTTATCCTTCTACTTCTATGATAGAAAATAAAAGGACACAACTTTTAAAACATACCGTTCTCCTTGCTTCCCACCACTTTTGGGGTTGACAAAAACTAGAAGTGGATGTGTGCCAGGAACAGGAGTGATCTAGAAGGAAATAAGGGGAAATTATTAGGCTATAGTATGGGAAGAGGAAACATGGTATCTCTCATCATGAAAAATCCACTCACAAATCAGTCTTTCTTTAAACTGTCTGTAGCCACAAGGAAAAGAATAATGGGCTGATGAAAAGACAAAAGCTACAGTTTGTGGAACACCCCATAACCTGACAACAATAAATCAGTTTAAGGGAAACAAAGAAACCTGTCACAGATAGAAAAGCTTCCTTATGCAGAGTGCCCCTAACAGAGTCAGTGTTCCACCTGGAATCCATCTCCCTTTGAGGGCCTCTTTCAGACCTAGTGTTCTAGTCTATACCCTTTTGCCTCAGCACTGTTTTCTTGTTTTGAAAGCAGAGTCCCAGTGATCCATGCCTATTTGCTAAGCTCCCCTTGCAAATGGAGTAGGCAGTGATCCCTCACTGTGCTGTCTTCATCACCATTTATTTTTCTGTGTGTAAAGAAGGCAACATGCTTCCTGGTAAAAATTTTAGTTAGGAAGAAGGACACACTTATCACATAAGCACATGAACAAATCTGGACTCTGTAGAGAAATGGGCCATGAAGGGAAATAATACTGGTGTTGTGCTAATGCACTGAGAACACGGGATCATTTTAGGTAGGTGGCAAAAAAATCTTGTATCTTATTTCATTGTGATTAGGTAAACACCAAAACATGTATACTGGGTAGGAACACCATTATTTGAAGAATATAGAGACTGTGCTTAAATAGAGTTTAGAACAAAAATTAAAACTATTTTAGCAAAGACTTATGAAACAAATAGGATACATTAAATATTAAGTTGGTAAATAGTTTCAGGTTATTCTTGTTGTGGTGTTATTTCTTCCCTAGAGATGATCCCTAAATATTTAATGCGACAATTGAAACCAATCATTTCATTATATCATGCCCTTTCTTGCTGTCTGCTTTAATGGTATCAGTTTAATTATTCCTTCCTCCAAATCTTAATGAGTTTGGGCAAGGAAGAAATATAAAATCTTCACATTGACTAAATGTGAAAGATGAATGGGATACTCTTCATTTTTCTACTGTAAACCAACTGATTCTGGAGTCAGTCATTTCTTTACTTTTCACTGATAAAGAGAATGAAGGTCCTTCTGTCCTACGTTACCTCTAAGCATCAAGGGCAGGAGAGCTAGATGTAGGGTCTGTAGTTACTTCCTGTTCCTCCCTGTAACAAATGTGTTCAGCTAATATGAATGAAGTGTCCACTATCATAAAGTATTAGTCCTGATGGCATGAACAAGCTGTCATGTTACTCGTCAAAAACTACAATGTGGAAACATAAAAAAAACCCTCTATCTGAAAACTTGCATACAAATTCCTTTACATTCCTTCATATTGCAAAACTGGAACTCTATCCTATGCAAAAAGGGGATGATTACCTATGTATATTTTATTTTAAGCTTACTTTGAATTGATATGCATTGGTTCTATAGATAAGTATTTCAAAATAAGATTATGTATGTATATGTATGTGTACACATGTGTGTGTGCACATAGGTATATGAGTACATGTGTGTGAATGTGCATTAAGTTTATGTGTGTATGTTAAATGTCTTCTTCAAATACTGTTCTACCTTACTTTTTGAGACTAAAACTCTCAGTGTCTGTAGTTCATTGACTGTTACAATTTGGGGTCTTCCTGTCTCTGACACCAAAGTGTTCACATTACAAGAGTAAAGTACTGCTCTTGATGTTCTAGATGGGTACCGGGGAACAGAACTCAGGTTCTTATTCTTATGTTGCAACTACTTTCCTGACAGCCCTCGACACAGATCATAAATGGGGGTTTTGAGTAAAGAAATGAAAATTCAAATATTTATGACAATGGTTTTTCTCATTCCTAAGCTTACATGGTTAATTATTATATTCAGGTATATATATTTAAAATTCACTCTTGATCAGAATTCTTTTGAAATGCTTCGAAATACCTTTCTGAGATAATTATTGAAATATTTACAAGCATAATTATGTTACTGTAAAGACAGTTAAAAATTTGGTTCCACATTTTCATACTCTCAAGAACTAAGAAATACATCATAGAGTAGATCATAAAATAGTCAGTGTTCTATATAGTAACACAAAATTTTATGTATTCATATGTACACATATGTATGCATATGTGGATCATTTTGAGGTTAGTAAAATGACTTTGCAAAATGTAAGAGAGCTTGAAGAATTTAGAATGATCATATTCCATATGCAAAGAAGTAAAATGCCCAAGATGGAAACATAGGGGCAGTAAAGTTGGTTGCACCATTTCTTTCTACACCACTGAGCTTTTAATCAAAGATATTTGTGTATCCCATTAGTTACTGTGGGTCTGTGCTCCTATGATGGAGGCTAACTAGTCCACCTAATGCCTACCCGGTGCACACAGTGGAAGCAGTGCTTATGAGGGAAGGTGGAATGTTTGCCAGACCTGAAATGTTATTCAGGAAAATCTGGCATATTTTCTGTGCTCAGAGAAAAAGCTTTAAAACTGCGTTAACCTTTGCTTCTATAAAAAGAAGGCCTATCTGCTTGACTAAATGTGGGTGCTAAGTAGACAGAAGTCTTAGGTTTGAGAGCCAAACGACCTGCATTGCTGTCTAGTCTTTGTCAGGTTTGATAGGTTAAGATACTTTTGCTCTGAGAAAAGGAATGGTAAGAATAGAGTTGAGTGATCTTCCCTGTCTTATTTGCATCTTGGTGACTTCTGATGCTTGCAGAACATGAGTGTATCCATATGCATATGTGTACAAATATAGATAAGTGTTTAAGATGTTGAACTTCCGATGTCTCGTCAGGTAAGAGGATAAATAGCAAGGAGAAAAGCATACTAATGTCTCATCTGGAGAAGAATGTCGGCACTTTTTATGATCTCACTCCCCTGCACATAGAACAGACATGTGAGCACATGGTGAGCTGCTTGCTGTCTCCAGACCCAAAGAAGAGACCTCCTAAAAACAAGTTTTCCTGTACCATTCATGTGCTTGGATACGTCAGATCTCCAGCTGTGTGAGAAATAGTCTTAAATGTAAGACATAGCTGTCTGTAGCATTTTGTCATTGCAGACCCTAGATCCAAACACGTGCTCTCTAAAGAAATAAGAGGATCAGATCGACTGCTCTCCTTCCTGTCCAGTGTGGGACGTGGACATTGAGAGATCCTCACGGTGACTGAAGATGTCACAGAGTGAGTACTACTCGTGATGAAAATGTGGAGCTGTCCCCATACCTACCCCAGGCCTCCAGGTAAGGAGACCAAAACAGTGATGGTGACCTTGGCTATGCTGCTGCCTTGTTCTTCATTTTTTAAAAACTTTCTTATATGCTGCATAACCTAAATTAAAGACAAGACCCATGGGGGCTCAGCACATGATATATATGGAATCAGGCACAGTGAGACACGTCATTGTTCTTCAGTCATACCAAGACACCGCCTCACTCAGAACAGAGATTAAAAACTTGATAGCCAAACTATGGAAGAGCCCTATTTCATCTTATATTATGCCACTGTCAGTTAAGATTATGGGTATTCTTGTTTTCGGTCACCTGCTTCATAGCTTAAAGTGTCTCCGATAAAGGAAGATAAGAAGTTGTCATTAGATGTGATACATTACCCACTGAAACCATTCAAATTCTGCATCCTGATTTCTAGAGATCTGCCCAGAGAAATTAAGTTCCTTCTTCACAGAATTTGGTCTAAAGCAACTGATTCGTAGTGTTTATTTTTATTTTATGTGCATTGATGTTTATGTATATGTATATGCATATGCATATGTATAACTCAGAACAACTGTTGGGATTTGCCATGTGGGTACTGGGAATTGAACCTTGGTCCTCTGGAAGAACAGCCAGTCCTCTTAACCACTAAGTCATCTTTCCATCCCCTTGATTTATATTATAATGTAAATATAAGTACTGATTAAGTGAATAAAAACACTTTGCTTAGTTTCTAAAATTCGATATGACTGATACATGTGAGTAAAGTTGTATGAAAAATCTCACAATTGTTTTAGAATTCTTTGTCTTTTTAAATTCCTAGAACAATCTCATATTAACAAAAATGTTTCAAGGAATATAAAAAGAGCCTTTACACTAAACCACCTGAAAGCACATTGGCAAAATTGTACCCTATTTTAGCATTGCTTACCCAGACGTAATGTTCTCTTGTATTGATTCAGTCCAGTCATTCAACACAGAAGTTAATGTACTTTTGGGTTAGCATATAAGGTTTACTTTCCTTTGCTGATTTCTTCCCTCTCTCCTTCCATTCATCCCCTTCTCTCATTGCCTCCCTTCCTTCCACTTCTTGTTTGCTTTGAGATACGTCTGGTCTCAAAAATCAACATTTAGTAGAGGATAAGAGAACTTCTGATTCTCCTGTATCAGGTCGTGACCGTTACCATAATATGCAGCCATGGGTATCCTAGACAGATCTTCCTGAACTCCAGCTGAGCACTTTATCTACTCAATCTCACCCTTGGCCCTGGAGTAGTTTCTTTTACCTAAAGTATATTGTTAAGACATTTGGTAAAACAAGCAGGACCTAAGGACTACCTAACGGACATGCAAGTTTATTTTCTTACTTCTAATTTATCCTTTACCAGGAAACTTCTTGAAGTTATAACTACAACATTTCACATTTCCCTTCATTCCCTAAAAACCTCTCATAATACCCCTCCTTGCTTCTTTTCAAATTCATGGCCTCTTTTTATTAACTGTTATCATAAGCATTGATGTATAGGCCTATATATACATATCCTAAATACAAACTTCTTTGTTTGATACTTGTGTGTTTGTTTCAGGGCTGACCATGTTGTGTTGGATAACAAAACTGTGTGCTCTTCCCTGTCTCCCACTGTCAGCATTCCTTAGTTAACCAGAGATTTTTTTTAAATGGTTGTGACCCCTGGACCTTCTACCAAAAATTTTGGCGTGCTTATTTTCATTGTCCTTGTTTAGCTCCTGTTTCAAACT